ATGCTGGAATAATGTATCAGTAAAATGACAACCTTATGGCTTAGATGTTCCCCAAATAGAACCATTTCTTTTAATTGGCATCACATTTTCCACCTTCCTCTGCCACGGAAGCTGATCTATATGATGGATTACACACGACTGTTAGGAGTTCAGCAATTTCATATCTGAGTTCCTTTAAAAGTCTTTGGGGAGAGTAACATCTGATCCTGGTGATTTGTTACTATTCATTTTATTGATTTATTCTAAACCTCCTTCTACAGACACTCCGATTTGAGACAGCTCAGACTCATGCTGCATGAAGCAATGGTCCTGTGTGGGAGCCTCCCCATAGCTTTTCTGCTATTCTTACACTGATGTTGATCCATGCACGCTGCTAAACTCTTATTCCTCCCCTATGGGCATGGCAGTAATCTGCATTTAGCCCACTTGGTTCACTGAGTTTTCCTAAGACTTTGGGGAAATGTTTACAAAATTCCTCAAAATGATGACTGGTAAGAGGAAGGGCTAGCAGGAATTTATTCTCTCCGTCCTAAAAGCTGGAAGATAGGATCACTATGTGTTGGGCAACTATTTATTTTCCTTGACATCAGTCCATAGGCATCAGATATGCTCATGTTGATTGTGTGGCAGTCACAGGAGCATATTTTTTAACACCTTTTACTCATCATTAATAAAGCACAGTGAGCAAGAGTCCTAACAACATCCTTTATAGCTGAGAAACAAGCAAACAAAAAAAAAAAATCGAAAAGTAACCAGACTTTTTGTCTTGGATTATTAAAAAAAAAGACAACACGTAGAAAAGGCAGAGCTCTATCCCTTTTTTGCAACATCACTTAGCAGCTGACGATGATGAGCTCATGCAAGACAGTACCATTCTCCTAAGAGGTCACATACAGTTCCTCAGAGGGTGCCACTACCCAACATCAAAGCAGTCTCATTGGAACAAGTGGAACAAGAGCAAGTGTAGGAACAGAATGGAATTCTAGGACAAACAGACATGGCCTGAAGGCCATTCCTAGTTGCCACGTTATGATCCTAAAGCTAAAACTGCTTCTGCGTGACAGGGGAGCATTCCCACTAACCCAAGGATCGTGCACAGTCCCAGATAAGGTGACACAGCATGGTACAAAGGTCACTACTCCTTTCTTTTCCTATTCCTAAGAAATTCAGACCATACTTACACCTTTCTGCATCTATTTTAGCTACATCATGAGGATTTGTCCTCTTTCTCCGTCCCGTTAGCCCTTCTCCAGGCCTTTCATCATTTGCCATCCTAACTTCTATGATAGCCTAACAAAAGCATCATGCAAGCCCTTCCACCCCAATCCCTTTCACCCAGTCCACTAAAAAGATACATCAGTTAAGACTGACACCATCACATCATTTCAGCCTTATCGTTCCTCAATTACATCCTTTCTCCTGATCTCCATTTCCCACTGCTTTTTGCTCTCAAAGACCTTCACAAATCAATCTCTTCTTCTTCCTACTCATTCCCTAAAATGAAACCCACAGTAGGGAGGTAAAAGACAGGTAGTGTCATCAGATGTAATGAGGGAGATTATGTTCAGCTTAAGCTGCCCCAGAGAGGTGGCCTAATGGCCTGAAGAAAATGATCTGAGGATTCCAGGCAGGCCTGGAGAAGTAGCAGTGGATGTGACGATCACTGTTAATTCCAGAGGCTGCAAAACGTTGAATGCAATCACTGCGAGGCAAGATGGTACGTTTGAATAGAGACCAGTCAGAGGATGCTCCGAAGACTAGATCAGGATAAAATCCTGAGAAGAAAATGCTGCTAACGCCCAAGAAATAAAAGCTTTTGCAGAAGAGGACAATTTTGAAAGAAATGTTGTAGTCAATGGGAAGGGATTAGAGATCCTGAGATGCTAAGATTTGGCCTCTTGCAGATTACTTGTTCAAATCCCCATCCTTGAAGAGGATTAGCCAGGAGGTATGCCTTGCGTTTTCTGCCTGGATATTGACGTATTTGAAGTGTCTCACTGTTCAATTCTTAAAACTTCAAACTGCCCTCTAAAGTAAGCACTCAGCAGACATCCCCCAGTGATTCCAACAACCTTAGAGATGACTCAGAAAAGTTGTTTGTTAGAAATTTAAAATTTCCAGCCATCTCATGGTAGGAAACAAGAGCAGTCTTCTCGGGGGTCGGTACATTACAGGTTTTAGTAACTCAGCGAGATGAAAACTTTCTCCCTTTGAGATGGAAGGCTGGCAAGACTTTGTTACCGGCAAGCCCCGACTTAAGATGATGCCACAAGAACTCACATACACTCTCTGACTTAGTCATCACAAAAAACCCTCAATCATTAAACCGTTATTAAGCACCTAAGCTTAAAGAGTCTTGCAGACCTCAGTCTTGAAACAAGACATCCTTGCCTACAGAAGTCATCTGAGCAAGAGACTAGTCTAGCCACGCACATTGCAATGTCCCCTTTAGTGTCCTCAGTTGCTGTAACGTGTTTGGCCATGTCACAGACACTGGGACTCTTCTTCAGCTCAGGTAAGAGAAGGTGTTGCCAAGTATTTTTTATAGAAGAAGATGCAACAGCAGGGTGCTTAAGGTATCTCACTGCAGGTTTAGCAGCAGCTGAAGGGAGCCTTGAGGCCTGGGCTGGACCCCAATTAAATCTATTCCAGGCCCGCTCCAAAGCTTCCCTTTACTCTCCCAGCTGCGAGCTGACTTGGGCTAGAAAATGGATGGTGGCTGGGAGCAATACATGGCGCATCGTTCAGCCATGTCAGTGTTTATGAAAAGCGGTGCCCCATGACCACGCTAGCCTCAGGAGATAGTGGATTTTATTTTTTTTTAATGACCACAGAGGATTGCAGTTATGATCTGTTATACAAAGGGTGGGAATGAAAACATGCAGAGCATCCCTCTTTGAGAAGCAGTGCAAAGGGTCAAACAGAACAACAACCCCCTGCACACCAGCATGTGTAAGAACAGCTCTTTCTCATGTTCTTTACAGATACAAATAAGCAAACCGGGTTGGGGGCTGCAGGGAAAACAGGAGGCCAAGGAAGTCGTCCTGGAACTGGCAAACCGACAGCAGGAGCAGCAGCTGGGTACAACAACATCGGCCTTTTATGTTCCGCAAAGCTATGCGTGCTAAAACACAAGCCTGCGGGACTCTGCAACTTGACCGTCCTCTGCGATGGGCCAGACTGGAACTACAAAAAATACAAACGAACGGCAAATCCAAGCACACAAACAGCAGAAGGATGCCTTCAGGTGCACAAAGATGTACATATGTACAGTGGATATCCCATACTTCCTCATGCCAATGCCACGGAGTCTGCAAAACAGACCGATCAAAACCATTACAGGGGCATCCGCCACGTAACATAACTCCCAAAGTCTTTTATTTTGACGAAGCTCTATATTGCCAAATTAATAGTCAGAAGAGAACAGTACACGATGAACTACCCTTGAGGAAGCCGAGGGCCGCTGGGCAAGGTTTAGCACACTTCTTTGTGATGGCAAAAAGCTGAAGCCACAGCTACTTTGTTCTGTCCCTAGGACCCAGTTAACCCTGGCTACAGGGCAGAGCTAATTGTTTCTTTCTAGAAGGAGGTAGGGTAAGGCAGAGGAAGTGAGGGGAAGCCAATCAACCTTTAAATGCCTTACTATCTGCTGACAACCAGGCAAGTAGTGGTTTAGCATTTGTTTTGAGGGCAGTTTACCAGCCCCTCTCTGTAACAATAAGAACAGGCTTAGGAACAGCCTCCCGGTGATGAGAGGGAGGGAGAGCAAAGAGAAAAGAAAGAAAAGGTAGTACAGCGGGGATGTATACAGCATCTAATGCTTTATGTAAGGAGTGCTTTGTATTTACAAACACTAAAATAAGATGCGTATCACTAGTGAAAATCTCATTGTTTTCCAGCAAGATTGTGAGCTTACAAAAAGATGAAGCAGGCTATAAAGACAACTCATGCTCCTCAATCTGCATATGATAAGCGTTAATGAGCAAACTTATTCTGGATCTAAATATGACCTTAAAGGGCCAAGGAAGGACCCTCACTACACTGCCTAAGAGACAGCTCAAGTAAATTACACCTAGAACTAGTCCGAGCACATCTGTGGAAGGAAAACAATCACAGTCTCTCTCTGCACTAAATATTAATGTCTAGGCAGACAAAAGCAGCACTAGGAATACCGTAACAGTATCACCAGCAGACATTCCGTATGTTTCTTCGGGGCATTCACGCATCAGCCCTAGGAATGTGCCTATTGTCCCACACAAAACTAATGACTTGTTCCAAGAACCCAATCCTGACATTCCTAGGGGAATCGCAAATGTTATTTATATTTTCAGTCACTTAAAAGGATTAAAGTGTGTTTATTCTCAGTAATCTCATTTGGAGAGAGAGAGAGAGAGAGATACAGGCAGCAGGAGCGTGCATTTTAACCCTATTGGGAACGATGAAATGCACAGCTCCATTTCCAGCCAGCTGCTTTCCTCAGCTCTTCAGTATTTGGGACCTCCAAAAGTCTCACCAGCCCGGCCGCTTTCATTGGAACTGTCTATGAATCGCGCGTTGCGGGCACTTCTGATAAACTACCCCGGGAGCTCTTGGTGACAGCAAGCTGCGCATAGAGCCAAGAGATCCAGCTGAAAATTAAACTGCATGTCAAGTACCCCGATCAATATAATAATTGCTCTAGGCTGGAACAAATTACAATCTCTGGTTGAAGACACGCAAGTGCAGTGCCAGGCTATACACCGTGCCCCAGGTCATGAGGAAATGTGTAAGCCCTGCTTATGAAGGGGAAGATGTGCCCAAGTACTGGGGCGGTGGCAAAGGGAGTACTTAGCCAGGAGGCTGTTAGCGACCGTCCTGACCAACGTGATGATCGCTGCAGGCTCCGGGGAACGGCGGTCTCTGCCCGAAGAGGCAGGGGTGCTGTGCAACCCACGACAGCCGAATACAAAAAAGGCCCGAGCTGCTGCCGCCGCCCCCTCCCCGCCGGGCTCGCTCCTTACCAGTCTCTTTGTCCTGGGCGGCTTCCAGGTGCAGGTCGCTGAGGAGATGCTCCAAAATCTTCTCCGGCGTCCCCGACACCACCACGTATCTGTCGGAAAGCAGAGAGTCCCCGGAGTCATCCTCGGTGGAGGACTGCGAGCGGCTGCTCCACTCGTCCTCCTCGTCCTCCTCGTCGATGTACTTGAAG